GCAGGCACCCGGGACACGGGCTGGTTTCCCTCCAGCCCCGGCTTCGTCAGGAAGGACGTCCGGAATGACGTCCGGTCTAATTAGCATATTACCCTTTTATTATTATAGATAAGCTCTACAAACTGAAATCCAAGTGTTTTGGGGTTTTTTTTACATAATTCAGTAAAACAGGACTATTATAATGAGAAATCAGAAGACAGCAAATTAGCAATGGGTTATCATTAGCATGAGGGAAAAGAAAGCACATGAGTCAGGACCTTAAAGATCACCTACAGCTCAAGCCTTTAATTTTACAAGGAAAGTGTCATTGTGAGAGGCTATAGGACCTGCCCATAGCTAATTGGAAAAGGGACTAAGATAAATATTTAAAAGCTTCTCTATTAAACAGAAAAGACACATGAAATGCTGGGAGAAACAGCCTAGTTTCCTCCCCTCTATCTATAAAATTACCTCACTATTATCATAATCAATGGCACATTTGTTAGATATATGAATTCAAATAAGTTCATATATCTAATTTTCTAGGCCAGAGCAGATCAAAAGCAGCCAACTAAAACAGGTTTGTAACTTCAGAGGCAGGAACCTGAACCAATGGCAGCTGACAATGAGGTAGGAGACTGAAAAATCCGAACACCATCCTTTGTAGAGCATGTTGACACGGAACCAGTCAGCTCGGTGGCAAGCAGCTCCGTGCCGCAGGGGCTTGAGCTTGTAATGGATTATCTCACACTTCAACAGGCAGCGTTCAGACTCTTAAAATGAAAGGTGTTGGTTTGTAAGACAGTGTGCATGAGCAAGGGCACGGCTATCAAATAGGAGAGCGATTTCCAACAGGTGTGCTGCAAGAATTTTAAAATACGGAATACCTGACTACTTAATCAGGGCACTGACCTCTTTTCCCTTAGGTTGTCACGTAAAAAATGACAACAGCCAACACAACAACAGCTGGCTGGTGTGAACGAATCAAAATCATTTTTGATTTTTTCTGGTCAGATCAGCAAAACATATTTTTTGGTATGCTGCACAATTTTAGCAGTTTGTGTGTGCCATGAGATGAAAAAGGTTGAATATTGCTGAAATAGGACATTGCAGCATGCAAATACCCTCCATGCTGCTCGAGTCCATGTGTGGCTAGTGAGCACTTGAGGTGTGGCCAGTGCGACTGAGGAACCAAACTTTTAATTCATCTAAATGAATTAACTTTTCTATATGATTTGAGAATCTGAATTAAATAGCTACATGGGTCTATGGCTCTAATATGGAATTGCACAGATTTAGAGAATTCACTCAAGGAACCCGTCATCTCTCCACAAAACTGGATAAATATGTCACTCTCTAATATGAAATTTAAGAACTTTAAAGATTCCTTAAAGGCATGGGAAAAATGCGTAATAAAAATGGAAATCACTTTTCTTTAGTAAACGCAAGCCCAATACATTTCAAAAGCCCCACGGCCTCAGGCTCCGAGTGCTGTGGCTTCATCCCACGTCTGCACTGCCCAAGGGGCGACACTCACACGTTGTCCTCCAGGCAGATTTTGGGTCCCACCACATTGGCTGCTCCGCTTGCCATTTTAAAAGCAAAATGCTTCTCAGGGCAAGCTTTCGAGATCCCACATTTGTATCTGGGAGGCTTTGTAGCTTTTGGAAAAGAAAACAGATGAAAAAAACAACACAATGTTAACGGACTTTAAAATCAGTTTGTTTCCAATCTCAAACTACAAGGGAATTTACATCACCAAGATACACTTATCTTAAAACACATGCTAGGATGTCAGCCTGCGGACTAAAGGGTCCCAGGTTCGATTCTGGCCAAGGGCACATGCCTGGGTTGTGAGCTAGATCCCCGCGGTGGGGGGAGGGAGGGTGCAGGAGGCAGCCGAACAATGATTCTATCTCATCATTGATGTTTCTAGCTCTCTCTCTCTCCCTTTCTCTCTGAAATCAATAAAATATTTTTTAAAACAAAACAAAAAACACATCCTAGGATTTTTTTTTTTTCTGGGGGTTTCAAAGAGCCTGAGCCTCTAAATAAAACAAAAGCACCGAGGGAACAAGCTAAAAATTGACATAGATGAATCAAATAATATTATCTTGATGAGGGTAAATGTATGTTATCTGATTATCTTTAAGTTTATGGTTTAAATTCAGGCTAGAGGGGTAGGTTTGAATTGTTACTTTGCATTTTCAGTGCATACATGCACAACAAATGTTACAAACTAAAAAGCCTAATGCATTGCTGAATAATCTGCTCAAGAACTAGTTCTTCTTTTACACACTTCCTGTACTTAAGATGGTGAAGCTAAAAACATTAATGAAAAACAATATTCATTATGAGTAAATACCAAGAACAGTAGGCTATCCAATCGATTATCATCCTTGTAACTTCAGAAAGCAATTTCTAAAAGCTTTGCTCACACTGAACTATCTCCATTGTTGGGATATAAATTCTCTTATGCCTAAGAAAAAAACTAGAATAAATCATCTGCAAATTATTGGGATGAAATACTTACAACGTGCAGCTGTGTCCAACGCTGACCTTGCTAAGAAAAATAAAGTTATCTTTGTTAGTAGGAATAAGGCTATTGGCAAGTATCCACTTTTAAAACATATTTAGAGCTAACAGGCCTATAAAAATAAAAGTGTTTGAATATAGCTCCTAAGAAAAAAACTAGAATAAATCATCTGCAAATTATTGGGATGAAATACTTACAACGTGCAGCTGTGTCCAACGCTGACCTTGCTAAGAAAAATAAAGTTATCTTTGTTAGTAGGAATAAGGCTATTGGCAAGTATCCACTTTTAAAACATATTTAGAGCTAACAGGCCTATAAAAATAAAAGTGTTTGAATATAGCTCAGTATATCTATACTAATAAAAGGGTAATATGCTAATTAGACCAGGAGACCTTCCGAACATCCTTCCAAACAAAGCCATGGTGGTGGGGCCAAGGCAGAAGTGGTTAGGATCAATCAGGCCAGAAGGGGAGGGCAGTTGAGGGAGATCAGGCTGGCAGGGGGCAGGGGGGCAGTTGGGG